ATGGGAGACGAAAGAAAGACCATGGGATATGAAACAAGGATGATGGGAGACAAAACAAGGACCATGGGATACGAAACCAGGACGATGGGATATGAAACAAGGACCATGGGAGACGAAACAAGGTCCATGGGAGATGAAACGAGGACAATGGGATATGAAACCCATGGGAGACGAAACAAGGACCATGGGAGACGAAACAAGGACAATGGGAGATGACACAAGGACCATGGGAGATGAAACAAGGACCATGGGATATGAAACGAGGACAATGGGATATGAAACAAGGTCCATGGGATATGAAACAAGGACCATGGGAGACGAAACAAGGACCATGGGATATGAAACGAGGACAATGGGATATGAAACGAGGACAATGGGATATGAAACAAGGACCATGGGATATGCACAGCATGGAGGGGAAGGAAGCGATTCCAGTCGCATCCTCAGCATTTCCGCTGCTGTAAGTGTACCAGGAGGAAACGAGGAGCACACGGGGGGGGGTCTCTGCCTCATCCACAGTCGTTTTCAGGCATGTTTTCCACTCCTTAAAAAAATTTACCGACACGGAACCATTACCTGTCACCATGTTATTCATCGGGTATTCCTGGAGGGCCCGGTATGGAAATTCGCACTGGGTGGGAGCTCTGGAGTCTGTTTCTTCTTCACTGCTGTGTTGGGGGGGAGGGAAATCCACGTGTTAATTCCTATTCATCAAGGATCTCTTGAACTTTGGGGAGGTGCATCCAAATCCTGCCATCGAGGGCAGGAAAAATACCTTTCGGTCAGGTCTAGTGCATCTTCCTCCACTTCTTCCTCGCAGCCTTTTCTCGCCACCTCCGGTTCATCCGTCAGATTGTCACGGTGCTGCGAGTATCAACAGAGTCCAGTTCAAATTGTGCCCTGGGTGCCCCAGGGAACACTGGGGATGTGGTCCAAGAGAGTGGTGTTTTTAGGACTTGTGATTTCCAGCTTAATTTTGGAATAAAGTTTTTAATCCAAACATGTTTTTGCTTCAAAAGTACCGAGAAATTGCTCGGAGAAGAGAGCAAGCAGCGTCTCGGAGCTACTCGAGGAAGGAAAATGCTGCAAGGAAGGAAAAGGCTGAGCTCAGCCCTTTCGTGCAGCCTGGGAGACCGGACGTGTGTCTGGGTGAGGGAGAAAATCCCTTCTGCACATCCCACACTCAATCCCGGGATGTGTCCCGTGGGATGGCACGCTGGGAGGGACGCGTGCAGCGCAGCAAGGGCAAGAACATTTGATCCCGTGTTTGGGCTGAGGGTCTGGGATGAAAACCAGGCTCCCTGAAGCTGATAAAACTGATATTTTTGTAAGCTGCACCTCCTGTATTCCCTGTTTCTCCTCTTACCTGTCCTGCAAGGGAATCATCCGCCTGCTCCCAGATAAAACTACCGATCTGCCTCCTGATTTCTGCCAAGAACGAGAAACAAAAGACGGTGAGAGCAGCACATAACGAGTCGCTGCCCGATGGAGCGTTAATTCCTCTGCCCCCAGGGAGGAAGAATCGCTCCCAGCAGAAGGCAGTTCCCTCCACCCGGAGCAGAAGTACCCGGAGGCTCTTGTTTGCACCCCCAAAAAGGCTCCGCTCACAGGGGCATCCCCAGGGGAGCCAAACTCTGATGGTTTGGGGGCCCAGGCCCACCGGCGACTTGGCTCCGGCACCCGTGCTCGCCCACGCGGAGAGGTAGCGGGAGTGGAAGACCGTAGCTCTGCCCTCCAGGTAATCCAGGCTCTCGTGTATTCTGCAAGAGAAAAAGCCAGCTGGTTTCCAAAGACAAGCCTGGAAAAAAGCCCAAACAAAACAGTTGGAAGGGATGTTGGCGTTAAAACTGACCTGCTCCGATATTTTTGCCCAAAGCACCAGATTTTCTGTGATTTTCTAGCTATGAGACTCTACCAGCAACGTTCGGTTCCAGTCCCAGCTCCCGGCACTTCCCAAGAGCAGCCTGGAGGAGGGACATGGGGGACCAGGGACAGGTGTGTTTTTAGGGACTAAATGTCTTGGCTCCCAAATTGAGGCTGGTTCTTCCGGAAGAGGGGAAAATGTGACTTTTATTTCTTTATTCTTCATCCAGCTGCTCCCTGCTCAGGCTCACAGCGCGGTCCCCAACAGCGGCAGCGCTGCAGCCGAAGGAGGATGCTCAAGCACTCACCATCCTCCTGAGAGGGGAGTTAAATATTGTTTTCCAGGTTTAAAGTTATGGATAATGATTGTTTTTCCCAAGAAATAATCTGAATATATACATTGAATATATATATAAAATGATATATAACCCTCCTTGGGGGAGCAAGCCAGTCTGGAGGGATGCTGTGGAGGAGGGACGGTGGTTTCTCTGGCTTTTTTGGGATTCCCCTCCCGCAGCTGGAGCTGAAGGATTACAAAAATCTAAGCCAGTTTTAAGCCATTATGTGTTGAATTAGTCCAGCCTAGCAAAGCTGCAGAGCGTGGCAAGCAAACATTGCAGCTCCCTGTCAGGGAAATATATTTACATGATATTGGATATATAGAAATATTTTTTGGGTGGAGGAAGATGCTCAGTGGCTTTTCCTTGCATTTGTACAAATGTTGAGCGCTCTGATTTTTTATGTTCAGCGGAAGGAAAGTAGCAATTCAGCCCTTTTCCAGCCGTTTTCACCCCCACGTTTGCTTTCACAGAGTTAACTCACACTGCCATTTTTGCACCTGGTTCCTTCCTTGGGGACAGCGTGGCCTCTGGTTTAGATCCTGAGTTTCCCCGTAGGACATTTCAAAGGTAACAAGAAAACCAGCACAATTAGTTCAATTCCCATCGGAGTTAAGCCAGCCTGAAGCCTGAGTGGTTCTTACAGCCATTTTGTGCTTTGCCTAGGAATGGTTTAGTGTGGCTGTGGAATTTCAGACCCCACCAAGCAGCAGGAGCCCAGCAGACCTGTCCCAGGCACTTTAAAAACACCACCCTGGCTTTTAAAAGGATGTTGGCATCCATGAAATACATCAGAACCATTATCTGGGCTTCCATTTGTCTTCCACTCCCTACATCCAACCGTGGGAGCAACCACGGCGCTCCGGTGCGCCGCGGTGGCACAACGGATGTGGCAAGGAGGGGGCTCAACGTGAGCACGGCGTGGGGCCTCCGTTCAGGGGGGGTGCTGCCCACCTGCGGGTGTCCGGGTGGGTGGCATCGCTGCTGAAGAGGTAGTCGGCGTCCCGCCAGTGGGCGAGTGCCCCACCGCTGGCTGCTGCGGAGGAGAAGGAGGAGTGAGGAGAAAGGTGGGTACCACAGCGTGTCCCCACCTCGGTCGGGGTGGCCCGGGGGTGCTGGTGGGGCTGCAGGGCTGGGCCCTGGAGCGGGAGCTGCGATGGGCCCCCCCGTGGCTGTGGGTCTCCTACTGCCCCATGGACGGCCCTTCTGGCCTCTTCAGCATGTGGGCACCGT